TGTGGTATCACATGGAGACAGCATTTATAGCCTAAAATCAAATGAAATATCAGTTGAAAAAATAGTAGAACAAGTCACTTAAAGTAAGGAATTTAGTCATTTTTGACTTGAGACCACGAAATGGTGTAACCAACTGCCTCGAGATGGAATTTACGAAAAATTCATAGCCTGTCTACTAGTCAATCAGTAATTCTTGTTAGTAACATTAAAAATGACAATGCTCGTATTAGATGGATAAGTAAGTATTAGATTTTTAGTAAACATCCTAAAGGTATAGTGCTCACTGCAACATCTAAAGGTTCTATTCTGTATAGGATTGCAAATACGCGTCGTCAAGATGTTCCTAACTAATGTTAAATGCTTTTGGTATCTTACGATTTCCTAGTTGATACCCAGTTCATACCATGAATGCTCTTTTAATGATACATTTGGTAAATTACTTTTAAAATTCTTACCAGATACAAATTTAAGTCCTTGGCTTTGAACTATACTTTAAATGTGAGCGCTAGTGATACAAACTTGTTGTCGAAACCAAACTTGGTGGAGTGGGATTCAAACTATGAAGCCGCCTGACAATTGAGCTACCAGTACACTCAGTGTATATTTGGTTATATTTCATTCAATCACAACTGAGATAAGAATATCTTACTATTTGCAACTAATTTATTCAATAGGGAAGCATATACGCATACAAACTCTGTTTATCATTAAATTGATTGTATGAACCATTTTTTGAATAGTTCAATACTGAATGAAGAAAATAAAACTGTACTTATAGTTTGATAGACATCTGTTTCCATGCGACTATAAGTTTGGTTGTATTTTTTAATAAAGCAACTAACCATATATAGATAGACTTCTTCAATTCAGTATACTATTTTTCTGTTTTATAAATATCTTTTTGTTTCCATAATAAGTTTTCCCAAAGGTTATCGTAAAACTCCCCTTAGTTTGTTTATTCTGATTCTTATTTTAAAAAATCTTATGTATACACAAACAAACTGATATACTAATAATTAAGTATGTCCTCTTGTTTCATCCGTTATTATCTATTAATGTTTACATAAACTGATAAATTTTTAAACTAGTTAATCAAAATAGAATCTCAAAGATATGTGATATTTTCCAGATAAGGGCTAAAAATGGTATCTAGGACTGAATTTATGATGTTTTGAAGTTTACCAACTAGATACACTTGCATGTAGCTTAATGTTAATCTGACTCTGCCAGGGAAATCCTACTCATTGTCTTCTCGTGGCGGGGGTGTTGTTTACGAAAGTGAGAGGACAAAAAGCGAATGTCCGGTGCTTTAACCGGATCCCAAACCAATGGTGCACATGGGCCCCAGTATCCTGCGGGAACAAATGGAGTATGAACCAATCGTTGGTCACCGGCTATCATGGGAATGCATCTCTTCACGATGCTTCACTGTCTTGTGGATCAGATCTTTAGGTCAAAGGCTCGGGGAGTGGCCCTTTAGGGAAACCACCTGCTTCGGTTTGGTCACCCGGGCAGTATCCCGGCCCACACACCCACAAATATGGTGTGGCGCATATGTATTTGGTACCCTCTTGTACCAATATTTATGTGTTGAAATAAATAAATAAATCAAATAGAGACTGAAAATGAATAATGATTGTTTTAAACGCCAATGCGTTATCCAGTAAGTTCTAGAGATACAATTGTCAGCAAACTATTCAACGAATATGCTATAATATTTGGAACTGCTTTCTTGTTATTAATATTTAAAATGACAGTCTTGAGTATCGAAAATCGGTAATTACAAATCCTAACAAATAATACTATCAATAATTCACTTAGTATTGTTCTACTTGAATCTTTCCATTGATGTTTAGGACCGCAATTGATGAGTCTCGTATTGACGTATGTAAAACAATACCAAGTGAATTAAACTTTACCCCATTGTACAAGCAAGCGGCTATCAGGACTCAGTAGCTGAGTCGATGACACGATGGTGTTTGAAGCGAGCGGCACTAAGTTCGAGTCTCGGAGTGAATATCAACTCTGTGATGCGGGTGCGTCCAACTGACGAGTCCCAAATAGGACGAAACGCGCGTCCTGGATTCCACTGCTAGCCACTACCCATCTTTGCTTATAATACTAACAATACTTTTTATTTGCAATCTTTTAATTAGACAGTTATAACATGTATACTACATATATATGTGAACAATAGTGTATGATATTTGAAAAGTCCTGAGTAAACTGTTTGTTATGTAGAAGATAACACATATACTTAAACAATACTCTTTAACATTAGTTTCTCTTGGTGTGAATTGTATCTAATAGTATCACATCATTAATGTAGCCAAGCAATCATTCAAATTTTTGAAGATTTATATTTGATATGTGTATATGTGTGTATAAATACAGGAACTATATCATATTTGACTGGGGAATATCATTTTAAGTTCAGACAAGTGAGAACTTTATTTTTGTGTTTATGGTTCATTTGGGAAAGTACTCAACAGTTTACCTAATTTCAACCTTTAAATAGCATGCCTTGTTTACCCGTCAAAAGTAAAACAGTTTATGTTTTCTGATGTTATAGATTTAATTGACTGTGTTATTTCACTATCTTAGAGATCTGGCTTTTAAATATAACTCAATAATTATGTAATGAACATAAGTAATCAATTTAGAAGCAGAAAAATTATCCTATTCAGTTGCTTCAACTGAACTAGCTAGAAAATGAAGTTCGAACCTTTAAATCCTTAAACCATCAGATCAAATTCTTACTTTGCTCGAATTTCCTTTTATGATGTTATTAGTACTAAATTAGGGAAAATCACTTTATTTTGTTGACTTGAAAACAGGCATCCTATTGGGCGTCTGATATCATGGAACAGACGAAAGCAAAGAGGAAGGAACAGTTTGAAAAAATCTTTTGTTCTTAACACTTTATTCTGGTAAGTAGAAGTATGATACTTGATATTCTTTCGAGAAATGAATTATTTTTTTTTTGTTGTAATTATGCAAATTATCACTTTTTCTGCTACTTAGTTACACATTTTCATCACATACACAGAATATCTAGGCTTTTTTTAAAAATCGTAATCTGCTAATGCGATCTAATCCTAATTTAATACATAACTTTCCTTTCCTGAATTAAAATTATATATATTTAGTACTAAGCATACTAAACTCATGAGTATCATTCATACTACTGTACTAGAAATTTATACACAGGAATTTTAAATAGATAAGGAGTAATATATTTCTAATTGATGACTATTCCCTCCCTTAACTACCATCTACCTCTATGTGCAACGATGACTTAAGTTGGATTAAGCCGGAAGAAAATTGGGGAGGGAATCGAACCAAGAGATGAGAACGGTCTATGAAGTCAGTGACTATTAGTCTAAGTCGTGTTGACATATTTTGGGTTTCTTGGCTGGAGTCTAGGTGGCTAATATGACTAGCGATTGGAAACGCTGCATGATATAGCTCATAATTAGGTCAGGATGAGGTAAATGCATTCACATTTTACCTTCTAGATTTTGAGAGACAGTATTCATCCAAATGTCATTTAATTCTATGTTCTCGAAACAGTTATTTCAACTCATGTGTTAATTGCTTTATTAATTGTATCTTACATAGCTAATTTAGTGCGTCAACTTTGACTAACGTACAATTGTGTTAGGCTCCATGGTAAATATAACTGAATATATATACATTACAGTGATCACATAGAATATATGTGCAGATTCTTCACGAAGTTGAACAAACACTTAAAAGTCTTATCTTCTTAAATATAAAAAACTATCGAATGTGATAATCATTATCATCATCGTTTTCATTATCAGTACTTACTAACTATTAGAATGATACATGTTCGAGTGTGCATACACACACACACGCACGCAGAGAGAGAGATAATCACACGTAGGTGCAACCTATGATGATGATGATGACCTATCTGAGTAATCACTAGATTCAATGATGTCAACGCACATAGTTTGAAAAAAAATAAAAGGAACCCAAATAGAGTAAAAATAGTAAATTATTGTTATAATCAATGTAATTGTGTTTTATTTTCTTCTTCGTAATAATAATTAAGAATAATAATATTTAACAATTAAGTAACCAAAATGGTAATTTGATTTTTTATTAATAAAAAAATAGACAAGATTATAAGCATACTGTGTGTGTGGTGGGGGGGGTTGTAGCACAACAAAACTGATACTACACAAATGAATTCATTACTGGGAAAAATGAGAAAAAGAAACTACTCATTATTTAAGTAAGCATTAAAGTTAAAATCAATAAAAGAACATGACAATTAAAAAAAAACAACAGAGAAGATATTCAATTATTCATGCCATAGCAACAAACTAGTTCGTTGAATGGTAAAGCAGTAAAAAATAAAGCAAACATCGATTGATTATTCATGGGAACAATTAATTTTTTTTTAATTTTTTTCTTTTCTCCACAAAAAAAAGAAAAATGGATATACTTTTTGTTCTAATACAAAACACTCGGTTCAAACAAAAGCAATGTCAATTCGTTGTATATATTATATATATATATATATATATATGTGGTTACAGTCTTGCTTGTGAATTCCAAATAAATTATTCCTGTCTCACAAATCGTTTCAAATAGGAAAATGCATAATGAAACATACAAAGATGAAATAATTGGATAAGATTATTGTTATGTATATGAAATGTAAACCATAGTCAATCATAGAATAAAATGATCAAGATAATGTTAATAAACTAATCAGAAAGCATTGATAGGCAAAACGGAACTATATATAGTATCAATCAATAACCGAGAATTACTAGTAGTAGTTATCTCTGTCTTATTAATGGTCAGGTTAATTACAACAATGAAACTTACTTAAATTTGACAAGAACAGTTAGATTTTCATTGAGTTTGACTAATGAACATATCATAGGTTTCTTTGATGTGTACAAATAATGTCACCAAAAACAAAAAGAAGAAGAACGATGTGTCATTTGTTGTTGTTGTATTTATGCTATGGCAAGATCATTTGTGTTCTTTAAAAGTTGATTATTTAATTCAGATAGATCAGAATGATCAAATTCCATTGATGTTTTCATTGTTATATCTTGTTTCATTTCAATAGTATCTTCTTCATTAGTAGAACTGTTATTATTAGTAGTAAGATAATCATTATTGTTATTATTGGTCAAGTTAAGATTTGTATTCATGTTATCAGAGTTGTAATGATTATCAAAATTATTCTCATTAAAGATAAATTCTTTAGCATTGCTTAAAACAGATTGAACTAACGATTGGGCTTCATCTTCAAATTCATGAATTTCATTATTTTTAGAATTTTCTAAATTTTTAATGATATCGTTATCATCATCCATTGACATTGAATTGAACACATCCTGTTGTTTTAGTACATCATTTGTACTTATCAAATTTGTATGTAAATTCTCTGAAGTGATTACATCGATGGTACCTGCATTAAGTGGAACATCAGAATGATTTTCATTGTACGATATTTCAAGTATTTGATGCTGATCAATTTCATCATCAATATGAGTCGAGTTCATTGTATTTTGCAGGTTAACTGATTCTTCGAGTGAAGTTAAAGTTTCAGTGTCATTTGCTTGCTTATGATGAATATCTTCCGTTTTAATATCTTCAGTAGGATGTTCTAAGTCAACGTCTGTAGTAGCTTCTCTATTTTCTTCAATTAATACCAGTTCTGATGTAAAACGTGACTCATTTGACGAGAAATCGCATTCCATAACTGGTTCAGCTGAGCTTTCCACTACAGTGTCAATGAACTTTTCCGTAGATATATTATTATTTACATTGTATTCAGAAGATGAAGTGTACTCAGTTTGTTCTGCATGTATATCACCATTCAAATTAATAGACTCCGTGTTTTCAGAGTGTGACAGATTCTCAGTTTGTTCAACATGTATATCATCATTAAAATTAATAGGATCCGTGGTGATAGGAGATACACTATGCATTGGATCATGTGTCAAACCTGGTTGAGATAAGCATTTATCTAGTTCATTGAGTGTTTCCTCCTCGTCAATCGGTACTTCATGCTCTGTGTTCTTATGGTGGGAGAGATTCTCAGTTTGTTCGACATGTATATCATCATTCAAATTAATAGACTCCGTGTTTTCAGAGTGTGACAGATTCTCAGTTTGTTCAACATGCATATCATCATTAAAATTAATAGGATCCGTGGTGATAGGAGATACACTATGCATTGGATCATGTGTCAAACCTGGTTGAGATAAGCATTTATCTAGTTCATTGAGTGTTTCCTCCTCGTCAATCGGTACTTCATGCTCTGTGTTCTTATGGTGGGAGAGATTCTCAGTTTGTTCGACATGTATATCATCATTCAAATTAATAGGATCCGTGGTGATAGGAGATACACTATGCATTGGATCATGTGTCAAACCTGGTTGAGATAAGCATTTATTTAGTTCATTGAGTGTTTCCTCCTCGTCAATCGGTACTTCATGCTCTGTGTTCTTATGGTGGGAGAGATTCTCAGTTTGTTCGACATGTATATCATCATTCAAATTAATAGACTCCGTGTTTTCAGAGTGTGACAGATTCTCAGTTTGTTCAACATGCATATCATCATTAAAATTAATAGGATCCGTGGTGATAGGAGATACACTATGCATTGGATCATGTGTCAAACCTGGTTGAGATAAGCATTTATCTAGTTCATTGAGTGTTTCCTCCTCGTCAATCGGTACTTCATGCTCTGTGTTTTTATGGTGGGAGAGATTCTCGGTTTGTTTTGCATTTATGTCATCATTCAAATTAATAGGTGGTTCATCAGCCGACAAAATTTTTGTTTCACCTGAATTGATTAAGCTTTCGTTGAACTCTTTTTCCATTGTTTCTTGGATTTCATCTTTCTGTTCGACATGTTCTGAAATTACGTTATCTAATGTATTCTCAGTTTCAACGAAATTCACCTTGTTATCTGTGTCAAAAAGTTCTGAATTAGAGAATTCTTCATTGTTAGATAGATTATGGAATGGACGAGGTTCAGCTGAACATTCCAATAACTCATTCTGTACAATCTGCTCATGGATTAAATCTTTCTCTCCAACAGTTTCTGAAGATTGAATGTTTGAAATATTATTTTTTTGCTGATTATACATTTGTTCATCTATATCAACAAGGTGTGTCTGCTCAGGAGGTGGATATTCAACTACATTTGAACGAGAAAAGCATACCGCCGGTGAAGACTGCATAACTTCATTATGACTAGAACCTTCAGTACTCAGATTTTCTTCACCTTCCTGTTTTATAATATCATTTTCAGTGTTTAACTGTTCAGTACTGTTATCTCTACAGATATCCTGATGCACAAATTCTTCTTTCTCTTCTGGAGAAAGATGTAATGGTGGATTTTGCTCCAATTTTATCTCTTCTCGAACTATTTCAGAGTGGATATCATCTTTTAATAAATCTGTCTTATCTTCAAAATGATGCTGAGCATCATCAACAAATCCATTCTGGTCTTTAGTAATTTCTTGTTGGTCCATCGTTATACAAGAATCATGAATAGAGTGGTCCAATGTTTCTTGTAGTTGTTGTTTATTAACTATTAGATCTTCAGTATGATTGAAATTTATATTATCATAAGTAAGAGAACTATTTGTTTCTGATACAGTTATATTTTCATGAGGACTAACATTTTCCTGATTTGATAAAACATGACCCATCAACAGTTCAGCTTCTTCCGTAGAAATTGTCCTCTCCATATTATCTTTATTTTCTGGTTCAATGGTCGATGAAATTTGAATAGGTTGTTCCTCATCTTTTCCCCCAGGTATTTCACATACGATAGGTTTTTTAGCACATTCTACATTGTGTTGTTCCAGTTGTCCACTTGAATGTTGTGAAGTATCGTCATTTTGATTTGGTTTGACAATAGCTTTTGAATAACTCTTTTCATCTTGTTCACTATCAAAATGTCATCATGTTTTCTGTCCTCAGGAGTTTCTTCAGTTGGTTGTAATCTAGTTCTTGCAGGCATAGTACTTGATCGGTTCACTGAAGTACCACCGACATCAGTTGGCTTTTTATTAGATCTCCAACTAAAACGTTTGCGTATAGTAGTTGCTGAACGTGAATCTGTGTCTGATTTTTCATCTTTACGTGAACTGAATCGTGATAAAATAGAGCCCATTGTGTAGGTAAATCACACCAACAAAGTTTGAATAAGTCTTCCAAAATGAAAATGACTGATTTATAAACTGTATCAAATTTAATTGACAAGTAACCAATCAGATTATTAATAAACAATACTAGAACTACCAATCATCATTTTAATTAACTATGTGGATAACTTTGATTTTTGATTGGTTCAACTGTATGATGCAAGTTTTTTACACCAAAATTTTTGCGCGTTAGCAGTGACTTATTATGTGTATTAAGTAAATCAAGTCCATTCCTTCAAAAATAATGATAGTAAAGCACAATATTAGAGAGATAAGATTTATTAGATTAATCATAAGGAAGAAAACTGGTATGGTTTACATGAAGGTTCTTGTCAAACATGAATCTTCAGATTCTTATACCACAAAGTGTGTTCTAGTTACTAGCGGAATAACACTGGTGAATTCTTGTGCTTAAATATAGAATAAGTAATATGTGGATAGCAGTATAATCTTGAATAAGCATTACCTTTTATTTGGAACTCGTCAGTTAGATGTATTTACATCCTAGAGTTAATTTTTACTCACGGGTTTGAACCCAGTACTTCTAGCTTTAAACACTCAACGCACTATCCGCTGAGCTACTGAACCCAGATAAGCACTAGGTTGTAGAACGGTATGAAATTCAATTTTAAATAAACTCTGGAGACCAGGTATTTCCAAATGATGAGTCCTAAATGGAATTAAACATGAGTGTAGGGTTCAATTGCCAGTAACATTCCATCTATTCCATATAAGCTTGTAACATAATGGCTATATCGGTGTATTATACACAAGATGCATGTAATCCAACCAAGATTGATAAAAACTCATTCAAAATATGAACGATAAAATACTTCAAACCAGTACAAATGAAATTAAATGTTTAAATATTTACTTTGAACTTTCCCAGAAGTGTTAAAACATAAGAAGAGGGAAACTTAAAACCTTACGCATATGGTTTTGACTGCCTTTAAGTTTTTTTTTCCACAAAATCTTGGCGGTATTTAGTATCTTAATCTTATTTTCTATTGGTGGGACATATTTCACTCATAACATTGTTTCTACATGATTTATCTGAGATTTATTGAGATAAAGTTGACATGGAAATTTGTTATGAGGAAATGAAATACATAAAGTAGAAATTATTTCTTCACTTACGTAATTTTATTTTAAGTATCTTGAAGAGAGTAGTAACAAAGCCTTGAGTGGAACAATATGAAGATTTATTTTAGTACGTAAGATTCTTTCCAGCTACTGTTTGAAATCTATGATATTTTATAGTCGAAATTCTTTATGGCAGTTAACATATTTAAGCAAACTTGATTAGAAGTGACTATTTATCATCATGAAGTAGTGAGGATTCAAACTATTTACCAATAGTCTAAAGCACTAATTGATCTTAGTTAGACCACCAGAGAAAACCTGGAAGGATAGTACGGGCATTTCATACTGGTATAGGACTCGTCGGCAGCGCTCATCATGTGCTCCCAAACGACTAGCCTCAAGATCCAGTCCTTGGAGTTCTAGTGAAAAACTGTGAACAGCGAAATTTAATCCGTGTCAGGTGTGAGACAGTTATCCTTCACAAGTAATGGAAGATGGTCAGACATTATCATGAGTTGATACAAGTCAGATATGTTCACCATCGGACATCGATTCAGTGGTCTAGAGGTTAGACGCTTTTGCGCGAGAGTGAGAGTCCTGGATTCGATTATCTATAGCAAGGTTATAGATGCCTATTTCTAAGGACCCCCATATTACGACAAACTGTCCATTCAATGCATCCTTTTTTTAATGGTGGTCTGTGTAAGATCAGCTCGTGATTTAAATTATGAAAATTCTACATTGTTCAAGAATCCCTTTGCACTAATATTTCATAATGATTAAACGTATGACAGATAGACAGATAGCTTTTAGAGTTTCTGGATTCGATTGAAGGCAGTTTTCACCAGAACCTAAAATAACTAGGGAACTAATGAATTTCTGAAGATAACGAATAACTGCTTCATCCTAAATTTTAAATCTTTAGAAATATCCACCACCAATAACAACGCCCTCATAGTCAATTGGATCATTAAATATTTCCGGAAGCATGATGTCATTTAGCTATGCCGTCATAATCTAATTACTCAAGTAAAATTCCCTCTTATACTCAATCATATTAAAAGTTCTACCCATTGGAATATGTTTCAATGTGTGAAATCCACAATCTATAACCATTTTGTTATGAATTTAATATAAACTTCATCGGATTTGTTCAGAACTAGGTTGAATTGATTTTCTAACGCTTACATAATATATATGACTGTTAACCAGGTACCAATTGTTTAAACAAGAGTTGATTGTATAACACATTTAAAATCGGACTGCATTTATTTCAAGTATCACAAATGATATAAACGACACAACACACGTATATGTATCTAGATCCTGATTATGATTGGAATAATACATCAAATGACTGAATGTTATGAACAGATTATTTTAGATTAGATTATTCAGATCATTAAATACAATTTAGTATTGTGTAAGGTCACAATTCATCATCACTTTTTTTATATTATATTAATAATAATTAGCACAAATGGTTATGTTTTCAGTAAGTTGATCACTAGGTTCAATATTACCCAAACTAACGTTATAACTAACATGAAATTATATGGATTATGAGATATGTAAGCGATTAATCTCTTGATATGATTGTAACCAATTGATGGTTGCACAAAAATTTCAATCATTTAACACAAGCCCATAATAAACGAATATTACTAAAGACAGTATAACTCGTCAGTATAATAATAACATAACCAACCTACATAAACAAAATGTCTAACACATAAAATAGAAATTTCAATGGTTGAGATCATGAGTCAATTGAAGCTAGATCATCATGGAAAACCTGGATGCACTGAACGGCCGTTTCTTCCTTGTATGGGACTCCTCAGAAGTGCCCATCCATGATCTCGTTCTTCCATAAATTATAGTCTCACCGTTTTTTTATTCTTACTCAAATGTTTTTTATGCCTATTGAAGAATATTATTCAATATATCGACATTAAATCAATACAATACACAAACAGAGACACAAGGAAGAAGCAACCGTGAATTAAATCAGATGATTAGACCATTATCATCATTCGAAGACTGTCTATACATCTTGATGATGAATGTTTCGAAATTAGAGATATTTACAACATCTAAGGGGGAGGGAGATTGTTAAGTTTTTGGTTGAGATCATGAATCAATTGATGTTAGACCACCGTTGGAAACGTGGAAGCACTGGACGGCCGTTTCGTCCTAGTATGGGACTCCTCAGCAGTGCGCATCCACGATTTTGCACCCCGCGGGATTCGAACCCAGGACCTACTGGCTTCGCGCCTGAGCACTTAACCATTAGACCACTGAGCCGGCATCCAATGGTGTTAGTGTCTAACATCAACCAATTCACAAAATTGCGCGACCAACTTCCTCAGCAGTGCGCACTAACACCATTGGATGCCGGCTCAGTGGTCTGATGGTTAAGTGCTCAGGCGCGAAGCCAGTAGGTCCTGGGTTCGAATCCCGCGGGGTGCGGGATCGTGGATGCGCACTGCTGAGGAGTTCCATACTAGGACGAAACGGCCGTCCAGTGCTTCCACGTTTCCAACGGTGGTCTAAAATCAATTGATTCATGATCTCAACCAAAATCTAAGGTTATGTTAAATGGTTAGTATGTTCAGAGGGAACTGAATGTATTCAGTTAAAATGTTTACGATCGAAACAAGACTTAAGTAATAACATTTAAATTGTAATATATTAATCAAAAATAAATAAACAGTTAAGTTATAGCAAAAAGCAACTCATTAAGTTTATTCTATTCCCGTGAATTACATCATTATTACGTAGTTTAATCTGTGTATTTTATTGATTTAAACCATGATAATATGGAATAGACTAATAGGTTCTTTATTTTATGTTAACGATATCTTTGATTTAATGGCTAAAAGTACATTATAGAAAGATAATTTTAAAAGAGAGAATAATTATCTGCTTATCTACCTACCCAAATCTCTTTTAACACTAAAGGACTAGACAAACATGACGGTGGTTACTACACAGTGATTAATATCTCAGCCCCACAAAATCTAATCACTTACCGAAAAAAAAATCAGACTTTGAAGCGAGTTGACATGGGTTCAACTGTCATAGGAAGCACCAGTTTGTTCTAGATTACAGGTATATGCAGGTGGAAAGCATCAACTTGCTTAAAACCGGATTTCATAATTTTCTTCTAATTATCTCTAAACACCTAACATCATCGGGTTATGCAAGTAAGTAGACAATACATCACACTGGATCATTAAATCTCATTAGTAATACGTGGATTTTAATGATACATAAATGAACAGTCATCTTTTTTTCTCTCTCCTTTCCTCGAAACATAATAAAGAAATATGCAGAATGTACCAGGCAACACTGAATTCTAAATGAGTTGTACAGTGTTTACTTGGCTTTGCTATGTTTGAAGAGATTACGAGTTCGCCTGGTCTGAGAACGAAACAAAGACTTTGTAACCAAAGAGTAATAACCTAGATATTCTGGTGCTTCTCAGCCCCGCTAACTAGAGAGAAAAGTCGGAGTTTGGAAAGGGGAAATATATTCCGCAAGCAGCTAGAAGCACGAGTGATCCCGACCTGTCTAATTGGAAATACACCCATCTATATATTGGTGTGTACAGTCATTTTTGATTAATAATCAGAATAAATGACATAGATGAAAAATACTTCATACAAGAATGTCGTATGTTATACAGAATAAAATGCCATTGGGGAAAACGAAACAAATACTATACTGAGTGATTATTAATGTTGAATGAAAATCATAATGAGTAAATCAATTTAATTTTGACCTTTCACCCCGTCATAACAGGCTTTATCCTAGTTAGCATATCTTTTTAGTAAGAATCCTCATTAGGGAACGAATTTACTAACCTTATGACCATCTCTCCTCACTTACTCAGGGTTGTGACCGGTATTAGTAACCCTAGAAGGGCTTCAGGTAAAGTTAGCTCTTAATAGCATCTAATTCTTCACAATAGTAACAGTAATAAGTTACTTAAAAGATTGTTAACATCATCAGCATCTTTCTGATAGATTAGTCCATATACTTTCTTGTCCAAAAACACTACTTACTACAAGATCACTGATATACAAACTTGATCATTTAGTTATTTGATTTTAGTTGTAAATCTTTTTCCAGAACTTCATCCATTTTATCAAATGAATGAAAACTTTCCACATTCTACAAACTGAATCAAATCTGATCTACACATAACTAGAAGATGATATGACACTGATGACCATTCCCCCCCACCTTTCATCTTTGTATTAACATATTAAATAATAATTAAATCTCCATAGTCCAGCCTTCTGTGCATCGTAGTTTAATGATCATGGATGTGCACTATTGAGAAGTCTTATACTAGTACGAGACAACCATCCAATACTTCCAAATTTTCAATGGTGATCTAACATTCATCGATTCATGATCACAATCAAAAACCTAACCATCTCTGCAACCCTTACACTGATGATAATTATAAATCAATCTAACTAAATTGAAAAGCATGTGAATGTCCAGTATTACCAGAGAATTTCAACTACGTAGTTCTATATAATATTAACAGGTCATTGTGTATGTGCAGTGTGTGTTTATGAATGTGTAGATGTATAATTGATTATCATTAAAACATACAATTTTATAGTAACCAAAAAGTCAGTCACCTACTTTGTTACATGTGTACATTATGAAGTGAATGAATTAGATACAGTTTAATTTCATTCTATTCTTATGACACGTCAATCTAATTCATTGTGAACACTTTAAATTTCAATAATAATAATAATAATGAACATGAAATATATATGTGTGTACTTATGTACTACTATTACGTTAGTTACAAAACTCGATTTAATGTTACATAATCATGAAACCCTTTTTTCTCTAAAGAATAAACAAATTACTAACATCTAATCTATTGAATGAATACTTCATTCTGAATTGGTACTGGTTCTAGAATTGTATGAAAAGCTAAAGATAAAAGTTATCTATTTCTAGCTTATGTGTAATGACAATGTGACATTTCTAGGATTTTATAATCGTTCTGTAATCATTTTATTAGTAAGGGATTAAGTTAACCTTAGTTGAGTATAGATTTATGTAGTTGAATTTGAATACCACTTGTAATTCAACAGCTATCTTAACAATATGAATTCGAAGATGTAAGCTGGTGTAGATCATTAGATTACCTTAAGGTATTTAATTAGTTCGCTGGTTTCAAAAACACACATTTTTGAATTATATGATAACTGATTCGATGTTCTGTGGTGAAGTTGTAGATGTGCATTGCTGAAGAGTTACAAATTACGACAATTTAATTGCCAAATACCTCCGCGTTTTCAATAGTAGTTTAGCTAAAGTCCGTTTGTGATTTAAATTATGAAGATAAGTTTAAACATTAGATGGTGGTTGGAGGTAGTCGACAGGAAACCCTGGACCCGGGTTTCGTGCTACTTGGCACGAGATCCGATCCGCCAGGGAGCACTAGTCCCCTCAAGATTACAGGTACATTTTACTGACAAGTGCCAAGTAGCACGAAACCCTGGTCCAGAGTTTCTTGTCGACTACCTCCAACCACCATCTAATCTCAACATAGTACACGCTGTGTCGAGTCACCTAGGCTGGTGGCCACATTGCAACATGGTCGATAGCATTTGATCTGCACTAAATAAGGACTAGACACGCATGACATTGATCGCCAGCCAGTGATCAATCAATTGTGATAAGTTTAAACAGTTATATTAATAATACTCAGAGGTTGATTACATTGAAGTGTGTATAGTGTGTAAACAGTAAACTTTTAACACAGTTATATCATCACAAGTACATTACTCTGACCAATGCTAACTATCACAAAACTTAACTTAAACAATTTAAGAACCACTTAGATTAGTTTCCACATTCTATTCAATTTGATCGATATAATATGATTAGTACTAAGGTTTAGATAAATAAGACATTGGGTACTACCAATTAATCAATAACGGTGTGCTTTTGTATAATTGTGTCGTGTGTTTTTTTATGAACAGAATATTTTATATGTAAATACATCAAATGAATAGACTGTGTGATTGTTTTATTATTGTTATCATCAAATGTTTACTAGCTGTGTACAATTAGTTTTCTCAGTGACATGATCAGTTTGATATAATAATAATAGTCAGCTATTCAATCAATAAATGACAATACGAAGTAAATTATAATACATATATATTTGTATTACATGTTTGGTTACATGACACATTACATCTATTGTCAAATGACAGAGGATTTATAAGTGATTTTTGTCAGTGATCAATATTAATTAGGGATAGTACTGAAATTAGCGATTCCTCAGGAGTTGTTTCGTTCTAGCATGAAACATTTATAACAACAAACTGCATATGAATCAGTAATCTAAAAGTAACTCAGTCGCAAAAAGAACTAAAAGACATTGGTGCGATTCATAGTAGTATCTTGGTAGTGATATCTGATCAGACGAAGAAATCGGTTGTCAATTATATCCTAAATAAACTCAGCCCGTGACAAAAACTAACTGAATATAAAACTGATATCCGCAAATCTAATGACTAACCAGGATTTCTTTCATACGATTGCTATAATCACAAGAAATAGTACGTTTTAATATAAATAATAATATGTGAATAGATGTAGGGATAGATAGATCAGTTGATGTATTTTTTTCAAAAACACTTATTATGATGTACTTCTGTCAATCTAACTGAAGGTTTACACGTGGTTTATCCATTATCATCATGAATTTTTGAACTTTTAAATATAAAACTACTAGATGACACACTTTTTAATAAGGATATATATATATATATATATATATATATATATATATTAATCATGACGGTTGTGAATACCTTTTTTGCCTATGACAATTATATTCCACTCTAGCCTGATTCATACATTTGCTGAGTGAGATAGTGTATAGACGATACTTAACATGGCATAGTTGTACATATTCCACCATAAATATCCTTAAAACATTAGTAACCCCAAATGTCTTGGTACGGCTGAGGGTAGGGAGAGTTAGCTTTACCTCTCGAAATGCTCTCACATGGCCAAGTGCATACAACCACAGCCACAGAAGTTCTACTCACTGCATTCTCGCACCACGGGTGTTGTTTACGAAATTGAGAGGACGAAAAGTGAATGTCCGGTGCTTTAACCGGTTTGGTGGATACGGAGGGTTCACCTAGGAGAGTTGGACAACCCTGATTCCAAACCAGTGGTGCACATGGGCTCCAGTATCCTGAAGGAACAAATGGCCTATAAACCAGTCGTTGATAACCGGCTACCATGGGACTGCATCTCCTGATGTTGCTCCACTACCTTGTGGATCAGATCTTCAGGTCGAAGACTCCAGGTATGGTCCATTAAGAAAACCACCTGCTTTGGTCTATGCAACCAGGCAGTATCCCAGCCCTGGCACAAATCTTGTGATTTATGTGGCGCATATCTGTTTGGTGCCTCCTTGTAACAATGTTTATGTGTTTAATAAATAAAATAAAATTTGTTATAGACGTTAAGTGATATTCGGTTCAAAATCCTAGACAAGCATTGAAGTAAAGTAGATGAGTTCTCGTGCTATATATTAGTGAGTTACGATCTAACTCATCAAAGTACAAAATGATCTGTTCATATAAAATGAAAATTTTTAAATCAAGTACTTTCTATATTTTTGATTGAGATCATGAACCAACTGATGTTAGACCGCCATTAAAAACCTGGAAGCACTTGACGGCCGTTTCGTCCTATTGTGGGACTCCTCAGCAGTGCGCATCCACGATCCCGCTCGTGGGATTAGCATTAACACAATTGGATGCCGGCTCATTGGTTCAGTAGGTTAAGCGTTGCGCGCGAGACTGGAGGCCCTGGGTTCGAATCGCGCGGGTGGGATCGTGGGTGCGCACTGCTGAGGAGTCCCACAATAGAACGAAACGGCCGTCCAGTTCTTCCAGGTTTTCAATGGTGGTCTAACATCAATCGGTTCATGGTCTCAATCAAAAACTTAACAATCTCCACAACCACTATACTGATACTTTCTATATGTTATATAACTGTGAACAACAGTTGATATATTTTCAAGTTAGTTGCAACTACTTGGATGAATTTAGGTTCTTCTATTACCTAACTTCTCACTTCATTTGTTCCCAAATAAGTCAACTTTAATAAAAAAAAGATTTTTCATGAAATTTTCTGTTGAATCTTTTAATTTACAACATAAACTGACTTTAATCGAACAACCGCTGGCAAGTAAGAGTCATTGAATAACTATTACTTCGTAGTATAAGACTCCTCAGTAGTATTGTTCATGTAAGACTTCATCAACCAGTATCAATCTTAGGATTCTCAGTTCTAAAGAAAATCACTCAACCTTCAAACAACTAAACTAATACCCTATGGTTTACATTTTTAATGTCACTTAATTTGTGTTCTTCGATAAAAAGCTATCTTCAAATACTATTGGTTGGTAACTGTTTTACATCTATTATGATGAAGCCGTTAAATTTATGTCAATTTCTTAAGTTTATTCAATTCTATAAATTTCTTTCTAGTTTGATCAAACAAGCAATTCTGATGTATATGATAGAATTTTAAAAAATAGTATATTGGGTACGAGATTAGTCAAAAAAGCTGTTATATGCAATCGTCGATCAGGTGCCATAAATGCTTATGGACCAGAGGATTTTACACCATCTATTGAACAAATTAATAAATTTATGATATTAGCACAGGTAAGTGGTTGTTTATTATTATTATTATCATTAGTGTTAATGGTAGTTTATATCATGGAATGAATTTCGCTAGATGATTAATAAGAACTAAAAAAAATTGGAGACAACACTATGTAAGCTTCTTCGACACTACGGCGTACCTGAGAAGATAATCAATATCATAATGAATTCCTATGATGGATTAAACTGCAAAATCGTGCATGGAGGACAGCTCACAAACTCGTTCGAAGTAAAGACCGGTGTCAGGCAAGGTTGCTTACTCTCACCCTTTCTCTTTCTCCTGGTGATCGACTGGATCATGAAGACGTCAACATCTGAAGGGAAGCATAGGATACAGTGGACAACTAGGATGCAGTTGGACGATCTAGACTTCTCAGATGATCCGACTCTTCTATCGCACACGCAAAAACAAATTCAGGAGAAGACAACAAATGTAGCAGCAGCCTCAACAGCAGTAGGTCTCAACATACACAGAGGAAAAGCAAGATTCTCTGATACAACACAAAATGCACCAATCCAATCACATTTGATGGAGAATATTTGGAAGATGTAAAAACCTTTACATGTCTGGCAGTATCATGGATGAACACGGTGGATCTGATGCAGATATGGAGGCGCGGATAGGTAAAGTAAGAGCAGAATATCTACAATTGAAGAATATCTAGAACTCAAAACAACTTTCTGTCAAACAACATCAAGGTCAGAATTTTCGATACAAATGTCAAGACAGTTCTACTGTATGCGGTAGAAACTTGGAGAACTACGAAAGCCATCGTCCAGAAGATACAACCTACTTTGGAAGAGAACAAACCAGATTCCAGCAAAGGAAGAAATCTGGAAGAAACGCTGGAAGTGGATAGGATACATATTAAGGAAAGCACCAAACTGCGTCACAAGACAAGCCTTCACATGGAATCCTCAAGGCCAAAAAAAAGAGAAAGATCAAATAACACATTACGTCGAGAAATGGAGACAGACATGAGAAGAATGAACAACAATGTGATAGAACTGGAAAGGAAAGTCCAGGACAGAGATGGTTGAAGAATGCTGATCGGTGGCCTATGCTTTATCGGAGTAACAGGTGTAAGTAAGTAAATTAGAAAAAGTGAACAGCTGTTTTGTTTCAGTATGAACTTCTAAGTAGTGTGGTTTCAAACGTACACCCAGTTTATGCATATCTCATTGCAAACCTTTAACGTTCGAATCGCTGAGTTAATATATCATGATTTATAGTCCCAGTCATTTATCATCTAATGGCATCGATGATACCTGATTCACAACTCTGACACGGGTAAAACTTGTGTCTAATCTATGATAGACCAGTATTATGCTATATGAATATTTCATTTTGAAATACTCAGAATAAAAACTTCATACAGAACAAAAACTGTTTGTAAAATTGTATCATTACTCTATCAAGTTATGGATGATGAGCTCTGTCATATGTCTAAAGTACAAAGTGTGGGAAAAAAATAGTAATGTATTACAATCTTCTTTGATTTTTATTAAGAGATATGTAATTTATTTATGACAATATCAAATGGATGTTTTTGTAATGGCATACTTTATTGTCAAGCTAAAATGTGAAAAATGCAACTCGCTATTTTAGCTGGACTACCATTGGAAAAAATGGAAGCTCTGGACGATCATTTTGTCCTAGTATGGAACTCCTCGGTCTTGTACGCGAACGTTCAACCTCGATTCCCGCTAGCGGGTTCGTGGATGCACACTGCAAAGAATTCCTATAGTAAGACTAGACGACCGTCTTATGCTTCCAAGTCCTTAATCGTGACCTAGCTAAGAGCAATTTATGGTCTAAAACTATGAAAATTATACCGTCTCCAGAAATTACCTATTCTAATAATCCACGATTTGTCGATCTGAACTCTTATTATTTAAAATGAGCTTATGTACTACTGACAAGGTGAATAAGTAGTGCCCAATTACTTTTCGTACCGACGGACAGTTTGTCTTAAATTTTTTTGGGTTTTCATATAAAAATCCAATCTTGAGGAAACTGATACTGTCTGTGGACTTCGAAACCACATCACTTGGTAATAGATATAGTTTTGTTATATCACACAGTGTAGATCGATTGTATTTCGGACGTTTCCTGACTTAATGTAAGTAATTTCACCACTTATATTTGAGCAGTACACACTTTTATTAGTATAAAAATAAATTTGATAAACGTAATGATAGTATGTTTTAATAATAAAACTGCTGAAATTTAACACAAACTTCAAATGTATTCGATGATTCAGTTATGATTCATATTTTACCCTAAAAATAGACTATTTTAATCCACAAATTATTCAGTTGGAATGTATTCATAGCTAATGCGCTAGATAATATTGATTACTACTATAGACATGGGCGTGGTTTCCTTGGATTTTTGTATACTAATTCTCATTTGAGTTCCTAGTACAATTTTTTTTAAAAAAAAAACGACGCCGAACGTCCAAATGATGGAAGTTGTAAATCTTTAGGAAAGAAAAACTTTAGAAAAAATATTTTGAACTACTTGTTAGTAGTATAAAAAGTATAAATCATGAATAGTTCACATATTGTAATAAAGTATTTCTCATCCTAATCCATGAAGATCACAATGTATTTTCAGTGATTTCTTATCAAGTTTTGCACTTATAAGTGGTCAGAAACATTTCGAATTGTTATGGCTAACAGAATTAAACTGATACACTTATATGATTAGCCTACGCAAATTGTGGAGATTGTAACATTTTCACTGTTGAAATCATGGAGTAGTTGAAGTTAGATGTTAAGATCGCTGCGTGTCAGCTCAGTGGTTTAGAGGTTAATCGTTCTCTCACGAGATCGAGGATACTGGATTCAATTCAATGTAGCGAGGTTATGGATGTTTACTAATGGGAAATCCCATGTTATATATATTGCAAAGGATAGTAGAGTCTTGCTGTACAGAAAATAGAGTCAATAAATAATCATTACTATGTGAATTAAGGCGAATACAACGTTGATTGTCAAAAGAAACAAAGACATATACACACACAAACGCACATGAAATAAATATTTACATATGATTAAGGTAGGGAATGATTCATACTGTGTTTCAGAGATAGGTAGACTGGTGGAGGGAAAATTGTTATTATCTATTACATGTTATTCTTAGTGGATGGGAAAGCACACATCTCGATAGATTTAATTAGCTATATGAATGTGAAGGTGGATATCGGGCTTTAATCTATTTAATGATATATATCCCTTAAATATTAAAGTACAAAATGTTCAGTAGATTTTATTTTCTCTACCCAAACACTGGATTTACAGAGTCAGTCTGATTATCGTAATAGTAATTTATCATTACGAGAACAGTTTAACTAATAAGCACACAGTGACCTGTTCTAACTTCATTGTAAGAAGAATAGTTTGAAATATCGGCAAACAATGCGTTGTTGATACTAAAGTTCAGTATTGTTGATATCAATTTTGCAATTATGTCAATTATTTTGAGGGCATATGTTAAATAAAATCACTGATTATTACTTGACAGTAAATGAATATCATTGAGTAAGGATCTAGATTGATATTGTTGCAGTTGGTAGCCCAGGGACTACCGCACTTGGTGTTTGAAAGTAAAGTTACTGTGTTCATATATGGATATGAACATCAACACGGAAATGTGACAGGCATATTCAGCCAACAAGTCATATATAGGACGAAGCGCGCATTCCGGGTCTCATTGTTAGTTATAATTCATCCATCCTGAATAACTGATGATAGATAATTTCTTAAAACTATGGGTTATAGGTCTCTTTTGGTATTTTTGCACTCTGTGGGGAATGCTTAAACTAAATGCATTCCTAAACGTCAATTGGGAGATTCAAAAAACTAATGAAAATGAATTAAACTCCACCCCATTGTACAATCTAGTGGCCATTCAAACTAAGTAGCTAAGTGGATATATGGTGAAATGGCATTTGAAGCGAATGGTAATTGGATTAGTGCGCCTAACTGAACATCAGTTATGGGATTTGGCAGGTGTATTCAGCTGACGAGCCGGAATAGGATGAAACACCTGTCCTGGAATCCACTGCTAGCCACCATTCATCTCTTCTTATAATACAAGATTGTGATTAAACTCCAATGTGAACTATTCAAGATTAGGAATGAAAGTGATTTTGGAAAGTTCTATCGGTATAATTTTGTATTGTGAACTTCCTTATGTCGGATTTTTTTTAACAAGGTAAAGCGAACCAATTTGAAATAACTGATGTTTTTGAGAATTTATAACAATCAGACATATCTAGCATTAAGAAACATGAATAGCATTGGTGGGTATACAACTTAAAAGTTATATGATATCAACTAGAGTGGTGACTAGATAGAAGTGTGTATTATCATTATTATAATGACTATTTTTATTAGAGGCTTTATTCAATATTATACTTTTTGGTACAATATAGAATCCTCAGAGCAAAGTATTTCAACAAGTTTCCTTTTCTTACTTTGTGATTGACCCTGACGATAAATACTGAGTGGTAGCCAGTTAAATGTAAACAGTTCAGGAATCCATATATGAATAATGTTCATTTCTTTCAATGCATATTTCCGGCTACCACGATATATCTGATTGTCATTTTTTGTGACTTGGACAATGAAAAGTTGTAAACTTTTCAGAAACGTACCTATTAAGGTTATGTGATTAATAGAATTAATGATGTGTTAAAACCCAACAAAAAACGACTAACTTTTTGAAATATCTAAATGGCAGGAATAAGTAGTCTAGATGTTCAAGCAGGCAACCAGAGGTTGGATAGAGGAAGTTGATACATTCCATTGAGGTTAGTAATAAGGTGATTTCATCAGAATAAAACATAAATATTGTGGAACTCATTATTATTATTATTATTATTATTATTAATAGCTTTATTCAATATTATATTATTGGTACAATATAGAATTCTCAGCACAAAGTATTTCAACAAGTTTCCGTTTCTTTCTTCTTGGTCGGTCCTCGCGATAAATACTGAGTGGTCGCCAGCTAGATGTTATCAGTCCAGTAAATGAACATGGGAATGATGTACATTCTTTTCGTTGTACATTGCCAGCAACTATATTCTCTCTTTTTGAGCTTTTTGTAACTTTAATAACGAAAGGTTGTACATTTTTCAGAAACGCAGCAGTATAGGTTGTGCGATTAATAGACATAATGATATATTAAAACAAACAAAGATAGATAACTTGTTGAAATATCTAGATGGCAGGAACAGGTAGCCCAGATGCTCAAGCAGGCCGCCGCAGTCTAGTATGAAATAATTAACATAATCGGTTAGATTAGCAGTTAAAAAGAAAAGTGTTTAACGCTGTTTTTGGCTAGTTACCTTTAATATTAAGGTAAGGTGGTTGTGGATACTGTTCAATTTGAAGATAATAAAAAAACCGGACTGACTTCATCCAAACGAATATTGGAGATTAGAGAACACTGTGTAATGTCGGTTATTATGTTAAGCCCATATACCTTATTCTGGCTTCCGGAAAGCCCATTCTATTCATTCTACTTGAGTCACATTCAGACCTTCTTATTTATTCGCTTAAAAATCTTGACTGTTTTTACATGAGCGCCTAGGTGTGTGTACATTTCTTATCCCATTACTCATCACATGTCTGTAACTTATTTTTGTGTGCCTAAAAATATTGATTAACGCTTGATTAAATAGGAGTTGGCTTATTCGCCATCTCCACTGCGCGTCATTTTGTTTCATCCTATTCCATTCACTTTATATACAAAATATATGTCCATTCTCCTTATTTGACTCCTTTATTGACTAACGCGATTTAAGCCGATGATTATATACGAGAATAGGCGAAATATATATTTCAATAACAAACATTCATTACGGTCATCTTGGAGTCAGATCTCGGGCCACTAAAGTAGAGAGCCCTTTCGACAACATCTTCCGACCTTAATGACGTCAAATAAAAGGGCCCACAACTGAACAAATATTTCCACTTAGCTTGAAACTTTCCATTAGTATTCACTACTTCACTATTGAATGGAACATAGATCTCACAGTGAATGGATTACTTTCGAACAATTTAAATCAAGATAAGATGATTCCTATTTTCAACTATGAGTATACAGTTTAATAAATTTCAAACTAAAATGATACACCTATTCAATAGATACTCGCTAATGTTCAGTAATACTTTAGATGGAATTATTCGACGATGTAACTAATCTACGTTTTATAAATAAATTTCCCAAAATCCGTTTTTTTTTTTGTATTTTTGTTTATGATCAATATTTTCACGACATCTTCAATGATTATTATTATTACTACTACTACTACGACGACGGCGACTACAACTGTCTATCATGATAATAAGGCTGAACGAGCAGATCGTGTAATTATAGATAAACACTTTCATATAGCTATGGATTCTTGTTTATATAAAGATGTAGATGATGAAACTGGTGTACTTCTAGCGGATATAATTCAGTATTATACAATACCAAATACAAATGAATATAATATTAGTAAATATGAATTATCTGGTTTATTAACAAAAATTCTTTATTAATTGCAATCTATGAAATTGGTAACCGAACTAATGATGCAAAACAATTATTAATTGAAATGAGGGATTATTTTGATGCTCAAGGAATGTAATTAATTGTGTTTTTTTAAAAATTATTTTGTTAAATACTAATTTAATCGTTTTCTTGACTATTTAATTACTTACTTATGTCTGTTACTCCTAATGGAGCATAGGTCACCGGCCAGCATTCTTCAACCCATTCTATCCTGGGCCTTCTTTTCTAGCATCATTCAATTCTTGTTCATTTTTCTCATGTTTATCTGCATTTCCCAGCGTAATGTGTTCTTTCGTCTTCCTCTTCTCCTCTGGTCTTCAGAATTCCATGTGAGGGCTTGCCTTGTGACTCAGTTGGGTGCTTCCCTTAATGTGTACGCTAACCAAAAAAATATATATATTGTTTTCAGTATTGATTTTTAATTATCTTAAATAATTGGAGTTTGGTTAATTGATTATTGATTTCATCAATGGTTACATTCTGCTAATCATATTTATTTTTTATGCCTTATTTTGCTTGCTTACAATTGAACTTTCAATGTTAGAATGTTCATTTTGTATACAATTATCTGATATTGACTTTTAAATGGATTATATTTGGAATTCGGTTATTTTTTTTAAAGACATGCTCCTTTTATTTTATACTGTACATTGTGTGGATATACACATAATAAAAATATTCTATGCACCCAAGAATCTATTGTTGATGATTGGAACAGGTAACTATTAATTCGTAGATTTCATTGAATTATTATTTTTTTCTAGTTAGCGTTTTTTTCTTAGTGAGTTAGTTTTCGACGAGATGGGGTTGTTAACCCTATACTCAACCCTCCTCCTCCTTTATCTAGGCTTGGGACCGGCAGTAGCCCTAGAGAATCTCCAGGCAGAGTTAGATTTCATGGAATATATCAAAATGATTTAACTATAGAATATTAGTATTGTTGACTTGTGATTTACTTCGTTGACTGTTGAGTGTGATAAATTCTTTTTAATCAAGTACATTCGGTCAAATGATTTGGTAGCATTGAATATATAATCTTTTGACGAAGAATATTTATTACAAATGAATGGTTTTGACTCAGTCAGTCATCAACAACGTAGAATTTCGTATGTGCGTGCCATACCATATTAGCACAGAGATTTAATTGTTAATACAAATCCCGTAGTGGTAGAAGTAGTAAAAGTATAAACAGTAATCGGAAAGATTGGGGTTTGAAGATGTTATTCAAAAGAGTATAATCCAGTGAAATAAATTTGGAAAGAGGACAAACAAGGGACATGAATTATTAAGAAGATTAGAACTCGGGAGAACACAAAGAGCGGATGCACCTGCATCATTGCAAACGATTTTGAGCCATATCATTCAAGGTCTCTAACCATCGGTTGCTATCAGCCCACGGATCCCAACCAGGTAGTCTAAACCTACCAACATAGCTCAGTCCACTTGTCAGTGACTTGATGGATTTGTGCCATGTTTTGTTCTGGCCACCCCTAGCTTTCTTCCAACCTACTCCTACATCATGAAACATCGCACATCGGGGCAGTAGGTGGTTGGGCTAATATGATTCTAGTCTTAATTTTTGTTAGCAGCTTCTTAGACCTCTGGTTGTAGTCTTTGACACAAGTGCTCTTATTATTATTATTATTATTATTATTATTATTATTATTATTATCTATGACCTGATATTTACTCGGGGAATGAAACATTGTTGACATTAAAACTAAATGATTAAGTTTCCTAAAAAACCATAGATTATTGAACATGTTTACGAATATGTATACTTTAAATGATTTATTTAGCTAAATAAATAAGTTCTTACAAACTAAAAGATTTCACTTATAGATACTTAGAAAATTATGCTTACTAGATACTGATATTAGAAGATGGTTTATGTCTTCTACTATATACATGTATATTTTAATAGTGAGTTACTCCCAATGAATACCATTCCGTATAACGATTGACTGAACACATAACATTGTACGATGTTGAAACAATAGACCTTACATTTTATTAGCATTTTCATAAGAAATGTAACACAAATAATTTATTATCTAATTAATGTTTTATATGCAAATACGAATTTATATTCCAAACTTGATAGTCAATTATCATAAAATAATATCAGGAATGAGACCGTGAAACTGGAACATAAATATGAAACAGTCATAATCAATACAGAACCTGGTATATGTATGTACTCTGATTTAACTTGTCACATGATATCAGCATAGCAAAACGAAACTATCAAGAGAAATTCCAATGTAGCACAAGTGGTAAAAATATTAGTAGTAGTGTGGTGTGTGCTACTTATATTGACATAAGTAGTATATGATGTTAGTCGTGAACAGAAGGTCTGGCAGCAAAGAGACAAGAGGATCGAACAGTAAAGAATGGAAGCAAAATGAAATTTGTATGAAAATGCAAGAATAATGAAGTCTGAGTTATTTTGAGACAATTGGTGGATATTTCGCAAACTATGCATTTACTATTTGATTGTTAGATGTTATTAACAAGTCCTGTAATTTTGTGTTAAATACATTCGATTGTCCTCACTCGTGTTCTGTTCACTACAGTAGTAGTAGAAGAAAAGATGAATCAATAATAAAATGTATAAAATCACTTTAAAGTTTCAGATTTAAGGAAAGACCGATGTGTGTGTGCGATTCCACGCCATGTTGTTCAACTTCTCCACACGGTAATCGTGTGGATGTTGAAAGTCAGTTAGTTCATAGACTGATATAATATTTTGGTTTGACAATCCTTAACTTTCTTTCAACCTACATCTACACAAGCCAATATTGTACTTGAAAAAAGGCAGTAGTTAACCTTTTGTACCACATAGCCCAAACACATCAGTCGATAAACATCCACGAGTGTGACGAGTTATGAATCAGAAAAATTAACATGGTTTTAATAAGTATTATTGTGGTGCATGCTACTTATGTTGACAGATATAAGTAGTATGTGACACCGATCAAAAATGGAATATCAATTAAAAGGTTGGGAAGATTGAACTGAAGAAAATAGAAAGGGAGACATAAAGGAATAGGGAAATGGAAGAAGCATGAAGGATATAAGAGACAATTGATAGATTTGCAAATGAAATAATTGATGTATGGTTTTCACATTTTATTAAAGAGCTCTGTAATTTTGCATTAAAACATAAATTGCTCTTCCTCACCTGCGTTCTCATTCACTAGATTATGGTTAAATGCAATATTGTATTTAGTTATCTGTTTAATGACCAAACAGGACAGGTAAAATAGTATAAAGAATTATTCAAATCCAAGAGTAAAACTTTTGAATTGAAACTCTGTAGTGTGCATCAGTTATCATTAGATGTACCATTTTCCTTCCACTTTGCTCAGCTATTCTCCATCTATTTGGCAGTTGATTGAAGGTCTGTATCATACACTTGTTGGTAGAACATGCTGACGAAGACAGTCGTGGAGAAAATACAGTTGTTCTCAAGTGAAAGCCTGCCTTTTCGCGAAATGCCTCCATTTTCGAACAACGAGAAGCGTACTACGCTCATATGATTTTGAGATGGTGGAGAAGACTTATAGTTCAGATGGATCATTTTGATGGAGTTTTGTTCTCTTTACCTGAAGTTTGTGCTGATGATGTCGTTCAGAAGAACGATGAACTCTCCATCACTAAACCATCCAGCTCAAAGAACAAAACTCTATCAAAATTGAAATTCTGTTCTGTCTAGTTTAAGCCGACTAAAATTGTTCAACCCCTATATTTAAAGCAGATGAATAGAAGGAAGAAATTTATTGTCACTCAATTCTTTATTTATATAATTTAAAACCATAAGACAATGCAAATCGAGTAGTTACTTACTTACTTACGCTTGTTACCCCTCGTGGAGGAGCATAGGCCTTCTGCCAACATTCGAATGGTGGTGTAATATAATATTTCTATAATTTCAAACTGATTATAAGAATAATGTCAAATAATGAATTGAGTATTTGGAAGAAGAAGCAGAAGAGAGAGGAGGGAATTATAATAATCAAAATAATAATTTGTAGGAATCAAAAACATGTGGTTAAGTGGTCATTCGACTACTTAAAGTTTAATAAGAGAATTCGTAAAATATTTTAATAAAATATCACCTATGTGAGAACCAAGAAACCAACATTAAAAATATTAAAGTGGAAGAAATTGAAAGATTAAGTTCACTTGGTGTTAGATGGTGGTTGGAGGTAGTCGACAGGAAACCCTGGACCCGGGTTTCGTGCTAATTGGTACTCGTCAGCAAGGTGTACCTGTAATATTGATGGAACTGGTGCTCCCTGACGGATTCGATCGCGTGTCACCCAGCTTCACAGTCAGAGATGTTACCATTGAGCTGTCCGGGCCGCAACCGACCTCCTGTAGGACTGAGATGTAATCACAATTGATTGATCACTGGGTGGTGATCAATGTCATGTGTGTCAAGTCCTTTTTAGTGCAGATCGAATGCTATCGAACAAGTTGCAATGTGGCCACTAGTTTAGGTGGCTCGACACTGCGTGCACTATGTTGAGATTAGATGATGGTTGGAGGTAGTCAACAGGACAGGATTCGATATGCACTAAGAAGGACGTGAAACACATGACATTGATCACCACCCAGTGATCAACCAATTGTGATCACTTGGTGTTGTTTTGCTTGTATCTTCCCGTTGTTATTCAGGAATGCACTTGGTCAGTCTCATAGTTTAGCCAAGATTGTTTGAATCTTTTTTTAAGTATGAGGTTAATCAAAGTTTAGCCCACAAAAAACACACCTCTTTTCTGATAATCAATTTTGTTTATTATAAGAGGTACAAAGCATCAGTCAGTTTAAACCATGACGGAAATTATGTGACAGTGAACACTATTGTAAAGTTATATATTGAACTAATAGTGTGAAACAATGATGAAATCTCCAAACTTCCTCTTCCATAACTAATACAACTACTACTGATGCTACTAATAGTATTCATAGTAGTAGTAGT